CACGGGTGCTTACTGGGACCCTGCCTGCAGAGGGGGCCCTGCCAGGGCGCCGGCCCATCCCCATCCTGGCCGTGCCGGAGCTTGTCCCTGGGACACGGTGTTCCTGCCCCACAGCTGTGGCAGACGAGAAACCCCAGTGACTAATTGTGCTTCCGCCTGTGGTTTATTTGCCCAGAGAAGGCGGCGGCCCTGGGGCCGGGGGGCCAAGGCAGGAGCGGCCGGGCACCTCACACACCCCAGCCTGGGGGGCACAGAGGCCCCGCGGCTTCCCTGTCCCCCGCACACATAAATAAGCTGGAGGGGGTGGCCATCAACAACGTGGCGCTGGGGACAGTCACCACAGGGGCTGGAGCCGGTGCTCCCCGGGGCAGCCACACCGAGGAGAGCGACTTTTGGTGTGGTGCATGGCAAGCAGCGGTGCGCCCATGTGCCCGGACACGTGTCTGTGGCACACAGCTTGGGCGAGCACGGGGTGCCCGGGGTGGGGAGCGCAGCTGGATCCCCGCCAGCACCCTACCACCTCAGTGCAGCCGGGGCTGAGTCACACCTGGGCGATACCACTCTCCTCCTGCCCAACCCACCGCCCCAGTCCACCCCGCTTTACCAGCACTTCCCAGATCCACTTCCCTGCGTCCCAACTGATCCCTAGGCCCCCCAGGACGGACACGGCACGGGGCGGAGAACTCACATTGTGTGGGCAGTACTCCACCGGCTGGAAGAAGCTGAGCCCCCGCAGCAGCGGCTGGTGCCCAGTGCCACAGCACTTCTCCATGCCCTCCTCCATGGCCTGGTTGAGGAGGCGGAGGGGGAAGGCGCAGACGGCCGAGTCCTCTCGTGGCACCCGGCTCTCCGGCTGGCTTTCGGCAAAGGCGCCGAAGAGCACCACGTCAGTGTCGTTGATGCCGAGGTCACGGGCCAGGCGGGCGCCAGGGCGGGCAGCGTGGGCAGCCTGCAGCACGTTGTAGGCGACGTCCCGCTCGACGTCCTCCTGGCCGCTGCGCCGCCGCCGCCGCTTGGACTCGAAGCGGCAGTCGAGGACAAGTTCACGGTAGTGGCGGAGGTCGTGCTCGTGTGTGCTGAGCCGTGCCAGGCGTGTGTGGTATGCTGGTGAGCCCGGCTGCTCCGGCTGCACCGTCAGGAAGTACACGTGGTCCCCGTCAGCGAAGGAGTGCACATAGTGGATGGGGGAGTTGTCCTGGTAGCGCGGCAGCACCGTCAGCCACTGGAAGTCGTCTGAAAAGCCGTCCAAGGTGCCCTTCAGCCTGCGGACAGACACTGACTGTGGGCTGTACCGCGCTGCCATGCTGCTGTTGATGGTGGAGCCGAGGTAGAAGAAAGAGGCGTAGGAGGTGGCCACCACGGTGGCACTGGTCCCCAGGGGGCTGGCCACGCAGTCGGGGCAGGACGCAGGGCTGTTGCCCATGACCGAGTACAGGCAGCGTGTGGTCGTGATGGCCACCTTGCCGTCCCGCACCTCCAGCTGGTGCTGGTAGCACAGCCCGTGCCACGCCGTGCCACAGCTGTAAAGCCACGGCTCCAGCGGGTCTAGCAGCAGCAGGACATTGTCCGTGTCCTCAGGGACGTCCACGGCAGCCGGGCACAGGCGGCAGATCTCACACTCGGTGCTGCCCACCGGGCCGGTGACAAGGACCGAGAGGAGGCGCAGCTCGGGGCTGGCCAGTAGGATGCGGTTGCGGATGGCCACGAAGACGGCGGCCGGGCCGGTGGAGTCGGTGTAGACAGCGACGTTCTGCACGGGGCTGCCAGCGTCGAGGCTGGGCAGCGTGTAGGGGATGGAGAAGTTCCTGGTGGAGCTGTAAGGGATGCGGGGGCACTGCCAGGCACTGGCGCCCAGTGGGGCCAGGGTGAGCGCCAGCAAGAGGCACGCACAGCACGACAGTCCCATGCTGCGCGGTGCTGCTGGCGTGGGGTTATTGATGGTTCTCAGCAGCGAGGGGGATCGGGACACACGGAGGATGGGTCACCATTGCATCTGCAAAAATAAAGGAGAAAGGGTTTTACCTCCTGCAGTTAGGGGAGGACCCCGGGCCACTGCCGCAGCTGTGCGTGGGGCAGGGGGTGCCGGGGCCCCCCAGGGCCAGACAATGACGGGTGCTGCCAGGGGGGAGGGTCGGCCACACCAAACCTCTTCCCAAACACTGCAAGTGGGAGGTGAAGCCAAGCTGCCTGGAGCAGGGGGACAAATCCTGCCTGCTGCCACCTCCCAGACACCCTTGCCTGTCCCCCGGGGGCACCCCTGGCCCGCACGACCCCGTCGAGCCCCCTCCTGGGGACGGGAATGGGGACCCTGCCAGCCCCCCGGGGACAGGCCGGGGATGGGGACCCCTGCCAGCCCCCCGGGACAGCAATGGGGACAGTGGATCCCCGCGGGACTCGGACAAGCTCCCTGCCAGCCCCCAGGGACAGGGACCCCGGTGTACCCCCGCGGCCGGGGTGTCCCCCCCTGCCAGCTCACCGGGGCTCGGCCCGGTCCCCAGCCGGGGTCCCCGTCGCCTCCGACTCCCCGCCCCGCCCCTCCCCCGGGCCGCCCCCGCCCCTCTCGGTCC